TGCATGTGCCTTTGAGTCAGTTTCGACTCAAAGAGATCCTGTATAGGGTTTCCGAGGCTGTAAATCTGTACAGCAACAGAATGCCTCATCTTTCTCCCACTTACAGAGGCAGACTGCACATATTTTTCCTATGAGGGTGGGAGGTGAGTTTAAGCTGCCAACTTTTCCGCTTGCAGCAGAGCACTTTACTGCTTGAACTACGAGGGCCCAAGAGTCAGGATTTGAATTCATCTTTTAGGATAAGACACAATTCAACCATGACAATCTGTTTCAAAACTGTAAAACCTCCTCTCAATATATATATATATATCAGGCAGCTCTATCTGTTTCATTTTCCCTTAGAGGCTGCTATTCTCCAGAGCCCTCTCTGCCTACATCAATCTTGACTGGCTATTCTTAGAGCCTGCTGAACAGATGTCCTCAGAGTGGTTCTTCACAATCACCTTGCCAGTCTTACTTCTCCTTGCTTAGGATGGGTGCTCTGTTTCTTGGATTTCTTGTATGTCTCTTTCTAACTTTCATCCCTCTATTTGGTGACTTAGTAACTTCCTACAAACAGTCCATGAGAAGTAATATTAAAATTTTTCTGTATAACAAATGATCTTTATTCTACCAGTACATTTAACTGAGAACTAGAATAGGGGTCCCAGTAGTGTAGTGGGTTATTCACTGGGCTGCTAACCTCAAAGTGGGTGTCAAATGCCCAGTCACTCCTCAGGAGAATGATGAAGTTTTCTACTCCCATAAATATTTATAGCCTTAGAAACTCTATACAGGGTCACTATGAGTTGGAACTGACTCGATGGCACACAACAACAAGACTAAGAATAGAATCATTTTCCTTAACATATTTGATTTGGAATTGCTCTACTATTTTATAGCATCCCATGTTCCTCACCACTGGACCAATAAACAACATTCTTATCAACGGAGAAAAGATTGAAGTTGTCAGGAATTCATTCTTCTTGGATCAACTATCAACACTCATGGAAGCAGTAGTCAAGAAATAAAATGACGTATTGCCTTACGCAAATCATAATGTGTAAGACCTTTTTAAAGTGTTGAAGAACAAAGATGTCAGCTTGAGGACTAAGGTGCCCCTGACCCAAGCCATGAAAATTTCAATAACCTCATATGCATGAGTAAGTTAGGCAGTAAATAAGGAAGACTGTAAAAGAATTGATGCTTTTGAGTTATGGTGTTGGAGGAGAATATTGAAAGTGCCA